AGAGGAGGAAGCAAGGAAAAGAGAAGGAGAAGGGGGGCGTGGGGTGCAGCATGGGGTGTAGGAAGGAGTGGAGGGTGCAGAGAAGGGAACAGGTGAAGGAGCAGGAGTTGAGGTGCTGATGTGAGTGCTGCTGTCAGTGATGTCAGAATGTGGAGGAAAGTGAGGAGAAAGAGAAGAAGCAGTTAGAAATGATGAAGACGACACAGACGAGTCATCAGCTTTAATACGTGTGCATCAAACAAGGACAACACTTGATTGGTCACTGAGGCCCAGATGAGTTAGGAGACCATACTGTACGCATTCACGCTGTTATCTGATACTGAGAAGTCCGTTAGACAGTTTGGCCCACAGCAAAATCATCATAGATCATTGACTGAACCTGAGACGTGAGTTGCAAAACAAACAGTGACCGTGTTCTCACCGCTTATACTTGAAAGATTATTAAATGTTTTAATTAGTTTAAATAGCTGCATTCAAGAATCTTAAGAATTTCAGGAGTGCTATTCTTAGATTTCTGTTTTCCCTGTTAATCAACTGCTCACAAAGACAACAAAGAACACAACTAGCTAGCTTCTGTACTCGAGGTCCAAGTCAGCATTAAAATGACAAAATATTCTAGTGAAAAAGTTAAATTTCAGCACAATGCCCACCAGAACTCAGGATTGCTGTGCAAAAGATGGTTGGTTTTTATTTAGTGTTGGTCAACAGTCATGTTAGTCTGATTAGCATTAGGGAAAATCTTATTTCAAACTGTTTGATGCAAACACTCCATGCATCTCCTCACCCACATGAACACCAGTGGGAACACTCAATGGGTCTGTTCTACTTCCCCCATTACGACCATATGATACAACTCCACGTCATCTTCCTCATCATGTGACCTGCCACGGGCCAATCAGACAATACAGACATTAGGTGAATGACACAGTGGCTGCTGTGTCCTCCAGACTGACTGTGGAGGGTGAAATGTAGAAGGCTGGCCACTGAGTAATCTCACAGTGCTGTTGTCCTAAATGTCATTTACTGCCACCATGTGTTTATAAATTCCCAGTACACAGTAGTTCCAATTACAAAAAAGAACATTTGACAAAAAAATTAAATAAAAACCAATGTAAACAGAAGTCACCTTGGTGAAACTGTGGTCAGCTGATCAGAGGGGTGAAGAATCCTGCAGGTGGTGAAGGTGTATGTGGAGCTTGTGTGGGACAAACACTTCCCCGGGAAATGAACTAGAGGTGAGGAGAAGAAGAGAAAGTAAAGACAGTTAATAAATGAACCAAAAAAAAAGAAAAAAAAAAGTAAAAGTACAACCCGAAAGGGAAGGAAAGTTTCAATCACAGAAGCCCCAAGAATTAACACCAGCTCTACAGACACACAGAGGGTGAAGTGAGCACAGCTAAGGCTCCAGGAACACTCCTGGAGGAAGATGTGAAATTTAATTTATTTTACTTAATGATTCCAAATGTTTGTAGAGTATTGTTGTTTTTCCTCATTACATGGACCTAAAATCTACTTCTGATTGGTTTTAAATTCAGGTGTGACCTGCTGTAGAAACCAGTGAGATCAAAATGTCCTAAATAAAGAAACTGGCAGAAAGAAAAGAATTTAAGGAACAACAGAAGGTGTTGAGAAGAAGCAAAATAAAACAGCAAATACTCAGTTACTGATGGGGTGAGACAGCTGCGCACACTCGGCCTGCCGTGGAATGGGTGGGTGTTGGGGTGCGTGAACGACAATCGTGCAGGAAGAGACGTCACATTGGGATATGAAAAATGTCCTATGAAAGCCTTCTGGAATCCCTCACCCTCCCACCCCACCTCCCATCCTTCCCCATCATGCTCTGCGGGCTACAAGGGAGGGTGGATGCAGTGCTTGGACCACAGATAAGAGGCGCCCTCACCAGGCATATGCTCCACTGTGGTAGGCTGGAGCTCCTTGTGGCCCATGTGTCCGTTTGTCTTCTCAGAAGACGAGGGAATAGGAGAGGAGCACATGGCAGGGCTGGACAAGGAAAGCGGCGTGTCACCGACAAGTCCGTCTTTCCTTTGAATACCTGTTTTAACCACACACGCCTCTCTGTGCATTGTTTCTGATAGGTCACTTTCATCAGCGTCGCCGTTTCTCATGCGGCAGACGGACGGGGAAGAGGTAGAGCTCGTCACATCGAAGGGAGCAGCGCTGTCCTCCAACAAGCCGTGGAAGGAGTCGCACAACACTTCATCCTCCTCTGGCTGGTCAAGATGCCAGGTTTCCTCCTCTCGCTGGTCATGTGGTAAAGTGCGGAAGCCCTTGGTGAGCACACCGGGCCGATGATCCAGCAGAGCCCCCATGTGCGGCTGAGCCAGCTGCTGCCATGCGTGTAGAGTAGCAGAGCCTGTGGGATACAGCAACACATTTGTTTTAATCAGGTCTGTAACAACATTTGTTTAGAGTTGAGTACTTTATGTAAATGACAGATGAATCTCAGGTTTAATCTGCATAAGTAAACCTAACATTGTTTAACTTGAATCTATGCAAATATATAAATTTCAGGAAATACTACTATTTTATAACTGCATTAGTGTATTCTAACTTTTCTGTTTAACAGATTTCTGTCCAGTGTTTTGCTGGAATTGTCTGAGCAATCTCATTCATTTCTGTTCTGTCAGACTTCTCAAGGTCGTTGAGGTCAAAGTCTAGTTACAGTTCACTGTCTCCTGCCCTGTAACGTGTTCGCAGAGTTTTGGAAAGCAACACAAAAAGAATGAAAAACAGAAAAGGGAAGATGGGGGGAAATGTGTAACATTTTATTTTAGATCAGACCAACTGAACACAAGATGAAAGTGCAAAGAAAAGACAAACACAATAAGAAAAAAATGACCAAAGAAGGAGTAAAAGCATTGTACATTACATACAGTAATATACTGTAATCAGTAATACTGTATACGTCATGTTAAATTTGAAAAAAAAGAGGATTTTTATTTAGGCACGGGGTGGTCATCTGTGGTGAAAGCCACAATACTTTTTCTTTAGTTACTAATTTGAAAATGACCAACTTCAAACACTAGATGGCGGTATATAACAGGTCGTGAAATGACCGAAGGCACCGTTTTGCAAATAATCTCGCAACAAATGCATAAACATTTAACTGTTCAGATTACACAACAATTATAGAATGACATGATATAAATAACGAAAAGCAGAGAAATTACACTGCTACAATGTAAAGTGCTAACATAAAATATAACACTAGAAAATTGAGTGTTAATACAGATGTGCTTACTGCACGTATATTTAACTTAATTTGTTAGTCTTAACACCTGTTACTCTTTTACTCAATCGAATAAAACACGTCCGATATGTAAAAAGACTGACGGCACAAACCAGCAACAGAATTATTATTAAGGTCCAACCAGTTGCTATATTTCAAACCAACAGCGTGGTTGTGTGTGTCTGAAGTAGAAGGAGTGCTGAGGGTTCAGACTGCCTCCGTGTTGTCCTAACACCTCCAACAGACCCGTCAACAAAGTCAGTGGAGTTCTGACGAGAGGCTGTGAGTTTTTTAAGCTGCCTTGCTCGAGGGAACTGCAGCTCCCGTGCAGACTCATTGCTCTCATTAGTATCTTGGAGCGACTGTTATTATGAAAAATGACATATTGATTGTGTCGATGGCACTGACTGTGGTTGTCTGTTCGGGATTGGCTGCTATCTGAGTGACTTTGGAGAGAAGACTGTGGAATGATATCGTTTGGATTCTGTGTCGTGTTCTGGGCTCGGTTCTGTTCACTGTTCAAAGATTTCTGTACATTAGGATTGTTATTCTCCTTTTCAGTATTTGGAGACTTGAAAACAGCGTAAGATAAGTGATCACCTTCGAGGGGCTTTACAATCTGCAGCTTCTCCGGCAGGTAGGACCTTGCTGCGTACGAGTATCCTGACCAGATGCTTCCCAAGGACGGGTGTGTGCACAGTGACAACAGGCTCTCAGTGGGGGTCCCTGGTCCTCCGCTGCCCTCCCCGCCTTCTTTTTCCTCCTCTTTGGCAAGGTAGGCCAGCTTTCTCTCCCTCTCCTCGTCTAAAAAGCGCTTCTCTGAGAGGTAGTTGTCACGGCGGAGGGAAAGACGACGCAGAGCTGCCTCCAGGTCTCTGCTACCTGGGGTCCCTGGAGTACCAGGGGGCCGCCGGTTAGAGTCCTCCGAGCTGGAGCAAAGACACACACAGTTGAATAATAGTTAGTCTAGAGTTTAAGCTAGTTCAAAAAACCTAAACTAAAACATTGGTCTATATGCTTACACTCTTAGTGACAATAATATTTACCTCATGTACAAATAAAAACAACTTGTATGTTTTTCAGAGTCAAACAGTCCGTACCCATCATCTGGACTTCGTGAAGTACAGCTACTCTTGTTATCCAGGAAGTTCCCACACCCTGTCTCACTTCCATTTATGGAACTGGGACGAGGTGTGCCAACCCTGCTGGATCGCGCTGAGGTCAAGCATGACGTCTGATTGGATCCGGGGATATTAAGAGGGGAGGGAGCTAACGACGAACGATTTTGACGCATCAGGTTGACATTTTTTACCGTCTGGAACACTCGCTTTGGATGCAGCCTAGAAAAGAAATGATGACGATAATGTCATCAAACAGATGAGTATTTATTATGATGTCCGACCAAGTCATTCTGAGCTCTGTTCTTTATTTTCAAGTCTAGGCACATTTTACCTCTGCTCTTCTACATCTGGATCATCCATCTGGAGCTCTTTCCTCATAGTGCCCTCTATCTCTGCTGCCAGAGAGTCCTGGAAAAGAGACAAACAGGTTGATGGATATAAATATTTTTTTCTTTTCAAACTCCCCCGCTGCCTCAGCCCTTTTGCTTTTTTACCCACCATTGGGAACAAGCCTAAAGAGTGGAAGCGTCGGGGTGTGCTGAGCGGTAGTGTTTTGTTTCTCAGGTTCTTCAGTTCCTCCTGAGCTTCATGAAGCATCTCCATACACTCAGCATACTTGTCTTGTAGTTCCTGTAGCTAAATGTGAAGAGATGTAGAAAAGAGTCAAACCATAAGCTGACTATTGTTAAACTGATATAGAAACACTGAAACTTAATAGCTCCACACAGGGTTATCACAACAGAATCTTAAAGCAGTGTGTAATGGTGAGTTCCATTTTTATGTTGTCTGGTCCGGGACTAAATATGTGTCGGTGGACACTGCTGGTGTTACAGTATGACATCACAGACAGAAGGTTGCAGGTCTGGCTTACCTCAGCAGTAAGTTGTCGCTGGGCATCTTTGGCTGCTCCCAAGTGCTGAGTTAGCTCCTCATTCTCTACGGCATACTGAAGATAGAGGAGAGCAGGTGTGAAAAATACTGACCCAACAACATGCATTTATCAAACACATACAGATAGAATTACATTTGTTGGTACTTGTACGTCATAATGTGATAAGACATCTGACTAAATCTGAACATTACAAATTTCCATACCAGCTTTGCCTTCTTCTGGAGATCAACTATCTGGGAGAGGAGGTGTGTGATCTCCTCCTGCTGTCTGGTGGCATCTTCAGTCTTCCGGGCCAGTTCTTCAGCCAGAGAGGAAATCTGCAAGTTGGCATCACCTGCGAACAAGAACAGTCGTCTCAGGATAAACCGAGGTGCCAACAAAGCTGAGTCTCAACCACATACGGCTTCACAGGAAAAAGAACGTGTGACGTACGTAGTTCTTTGACACAGTCGTTGACAAGTTGTTGTTCTTTCTCCTCATAGGAAATAGTTTCTGTCTCCAAGTGACTGGCCTGGAAATAATAACAAAAGAAATAGATGGTTAATCAAAACCACACCGATGACATCAGAGTGAGGGCAAAAGATAACAAACACTGAATAAAATCCACTTTTCATCATCAGTGCAGGCAAAAGAAGACTGACAGATGTGTAATCTATTTAAAAAAACACAACCTACATGTGACATCATTGTGGTTTATCACACACACGTGTAAATGTACCTCAGATCGCAGTGATTTGTTTTCCTCCTCCAAGTCTTTGAGTTTCTTCTGTAGGGAGTCCAGTGGGAAAAAGGTTGGCGTTGACACGGTGGTTTCACTAAGACGCACACTGGAAACACACATGTACAGCAGGGTGAACTGCATTACTTTGCCTTGAGGCAGTGGTCTCTCACTTAAATGAGCTGAGGGCTGCTGTTACAGCTGTGATTTGACTGGGGAGCCCACACTGGTGTTCAATGTTCAATACAAAAGGATAAATACTGTGTAATGCAACAGTGCAAATGAGATCAATTATTGTTTCTAGTTCTTAAATACTATTTTAATGAATGAACAGACTGTTGAATTTTGTTTTTATTTCCTACAGCGCAAAATTATATCATCTATGACATCTACTTGAGGACCAGATGTGGACTGTTCACGGACCAGAAGTGGCCCCTCGACCAGAAGTTTGAGACAGATGCTTAAAGGTAAAACTTATTTTTCACATAACGGCTAATGTACCACTACAGTAACAAATGTCAAAACCAGGCCACTCTCTAAGACATCTTATCAAAGACTGACAATAGTTTTATGTTTATATTTGTGCTACATTTTACACCTGTTGTAAAAACCGCACTGCATAACACTTTATGGAGGCGTAGGAAAGGGGGAGGACAATAGTGGTGAAAGGTTAGAGGAGGAGGTGTCTGAGAGAATGGAGGGAGGGCACGTACGGTGTGGAGGCCGTGGACTCTCCCTCACTCTCCTCAGCAGCACTGGTGTAAATCTGTAGCAGCTCATCTTTCATGGTCAGGTCATGACGCAGCTGAGAGACCTGTGTGTGTGTGGAAAACACAAGTGAGGAGCTGGCACCAGGAGTAAAAGGAGAGGTGGTGAGGGTTCAGTGTTTGGTTGACGACAGCGCGCACCTCTTCTCGTATGTGCTCCACTTGCTCTTCCAGCAGTTCATTTCTCTCACTGAGGGTTTTGTTTTTCTTTAAGAGGGACTGACCGATGCGCGCCGCCAACTCCAAGTCACGCTCTTTCTGCACAGTTAAAGTCAAAGTTTTTAAGAAAGCATAGTTATCAAACTTGTTATTCACGTAATAGCCAACAAATATTGATAAAGTCAAAGCAATGACAAACTAAAGGTTTAAAAATTCATCAAGGAAGAACAATTGTAGTTAAACAATTACTCTTGAACAAAGATGTCAATATTAACAAGTCATTGAATAAAGGAAGTGAATTTGCTAAACCAGTGGTGCGCAAACAGTTGGTAAAAAAGGATAATCGGTTTCTGCATCAAAATATTCCTACCAAGTGAAGCCAAACACGTAGACAGGAAATGCTTGGCGTTTTAGCCTGGCTAATTATTAAATATATTTATGTAGAGTTTCAGGTCAAATAATATTTACTTTAAAAGTTTAAGGACCACTTGCTTTTGTTCTAATTAGTAAAAACAAAAAAGTACTTCTCCACTGTCATTAGTGTCACTAAACAGAACTGGTTTGTGTTTGCAGCTCTAACTACTAACCCTCGCTTACAGGAAGTAGTGGGTATGAATGCAGGTCTGTTTATTTAGAGTTTGATAACAAAAACAAATAAAAAGTACAAATTTAAATTTCAGCAGCCACATGCTAGTGATATTTGGCTGTTTATTTGACTATCAGCGGACGTCATCGTTCGTGTTTTATTATTGGCTCGTTGATATGAGCTCACTCTATTTTAGGTTCTTCCTCCTCAGCCTCATGGCCCAGTGACAGTACAGAACAGAAAAAGTAAAAGAGTTCTCTGCAGGTCATGTGACTCAACATGAATCCTACCTCTTCCAGCAGTCGAGTTACAGCATCAATGTCACTGTAGGTCTTCGTCATTTGGCCCACTCTGTCAGCACACAACACTGCAAAGAAAGGGGGAATCACAGACTCAGAAATTTGGTTTTGTTTATTTTTTGATTGATTTTTTTTCCCCTGGAGTTGACTCCTTGGCTATTGCTCTTTCTAGCATTTATCCACTATTACCAAATGCACAAAATGAAGTACATCATCAGCCTCAAATGTGATTAGTCTCATTGTTATTTTCACACAAAATGGAGACATGTCTCAAAATGTAAAGCAGCAAACGGCCACTGATTCAAAGCTCTGACTTTTGCTTTAATGGCCGTTCGTCCACACTAAAATGAACAAATGGGATTAGTATCATTGTTATTTTCACACAAAATGGAGACATGTTAGGTCTCAAAATGTAAAGCAGCAAACGACCACTGATTCAAAGCTCTGACATTTGCTTTAATGGCCGTTCGTCCACACTAAGATTATGCTACATTCATTACCCTGTGTTTCCATTTCCATATCTACTTTTGCTATAGTTTTCACTCAACATATTTTTATCCATGAAGTCATGTAGTGACTGGTATCCAGCTGTACTCTCACACCTGAAGATCACTGCTTTAAAATTTAAGCACACTCAAGGGTTTCGAGCACACCTATGAACCCTGTAAATAACTGGGTGTTGTGTTATCCGGCTGATGACAACAGAGTGAGTCACTTCACCTCAGGGGTCGAAGTTCACACAGCAAGCAGCAGAGACAAAAAGCATGATATCAGTGATATCACCTGTCTGGTTCAGCCCACTCTGAAAGACCAGGTCACTTTTCATTTTAATGAACAACAAACGATTTTCCATCACAGACATTTATATTATATGCAAGACAAACAGCTTCAAGCGTATTTATATTAATAGGCGCATAATCATGTCAGTACACGCTACTGTAAACACTGCAGTACAAACCACTGTAAACACAAATGATTTAAAATGCAAAATGGATTTGGCAAACGCAAATTTACCTAATAATCATATCATCACCTGAAGAGCAAAGTGCTCGAGAACACAAAAACACACAGCTGGTTATATTTTAGTCAAGGAAAGAATTTAATATTATGATCCATTTCTATAAATTTAGAAATTAATACCTAATGTAAAAATGTTAACACAAGCACAAGCAAAATTTGAAAAATCGAAACCATGCAGGTTTTCATGAGACGATGAAATTCTGTTCTGTGGTTGTAGAAAAACTTTGATTCTACATTACCATGGCAACAGGGATATACTGTACTGTACTGTCCATGTTTGGTGCACCGTTAAGAGGAGCACCAGACAACAATGACTACTGTCCGTCAACAATGACCATTCTATTTTTATCTCGGGTTTAACAGAGTGATTTTCTCTGTAACTACAGCATAGCAAACAAACACAACTGCAAACGCTGATCACGTGCTAAAGAAACACTGCCATACCTGAAAGACATGGACCATAAAAAGATTCAGCATCAAACAAAACAGGCTGTAAAATGATTTTATGTTTTGATCGTAAAAGGACACAAGTTTATTTCTCTTCCTAAGAAAGAGGGTGAATAATAATTAAAAAAAAAATCTGATTAAACTTAAGCTTTGTACTGACAAACACTGACCTGAGCATGGTACAACAAACACACACACTCACTAACACCTCTCTTAGGTTTTGTAAAAACAAAACACTTTAATAATAGGATACTTCTTTGACTACATTTGCACACATGGAAAAATGCAGAATTTGCCCCCGTTATCAGATCATTAGTAACATTATTGAGTTGATAGTGTCAGGCGTAGCCTGTTTACTCGTAACACACACAGTCCTGTGTGTTTGCTATCCTTTCAAAATTGTCGGTTTCCAAGGAACTACTCCACCCAGGTCTGATAAATCAGTTGACCTCAGTTGACCTCTAATGCACGTAGAAATGTGATTTATTTAAAGTGACTTTTAAGGAAGTCCACTCAACTGAAAACATTTAGATGTTAACACTAATGATATTCATAAAAACTTCCTGGTCCGGAACTGACAGCAGAAAACCTGTTATGTATTTAATTTCTTTAATGATTTACTTCATTAATCCATGAGGTCAAATGGGTGGTGAAGGAAAATGAACCGGAGCCAGGTTGTGTAGGAGGAGGTGCAACCAAATACTGTGAGGAGATCAGGTTTTTTTCTTGGTATTTAGCAGTGAGAGCAGGTAACTTTAGACAGAAACTCCCTCTTCTTCTTTGTTAAATGCAGGACGAAGGAAGAAATTCTATTTAAATGTGATTTCAAAAAGGGGGGTATCTTACAGCAATTGAGACTTTGTTAAATTTTCTAGTTTTCTAGTGTTGCTGCTCTCAGTGGCATAAGGGTAATGGCTGCTGCTGAGTAACAGACACCACACAAGTTCACAGACAATAAACAAGCACCATGACAAAGACTGAAGGGCAACATGCAGTCAAGTTCAAAGTGTGGCTCTTCAGTCCAGATTATATTTTGAATTATTTACAGGGATTATTTTACAATAGTACAAAATATTTTAGTTTGGTTTTTTGTTTGGACAAACTTACATTTAAAAAGGGGGTGAATTTAATATTTTCTTGAATAAATAGTCAAGGCCATGGGCTTTCTAAACAGAAAAGGAGTCAGTTTGTAGAACTCACATCAGTGACACCTCTGTGTTTCACTGCTTCTAGTGTGGAGCCTGTAAAAATTCTCATAATTCCAACTGTAGCTCATTGTTAAAGTTGCAATGCTCCTAGATTTCTAACATCTTGAGTATCTGAATTAAAGTCAGCACAGCTACGAGCAGAATACTGACAGTGGATTTTCTGCAAAATTGCAATAACGAATCCAAAATCGTGAAACTGTTTACATACTTCTGCATATTTTATAATAAGAAAGAAAGTCATACTGCCTTCGACACTTCTGACACAAGCATGCATTGCACTGAACGTAATCCATCACGGCTTTTTCTCTAATGCAAATATACCTTTACATACATGTGAGAAGGACCTCGCTGTCAGTTCACCTCAGGTTAATGAAATCACAAAACAGCCGCTCACTCCGCCCCTGTGATCGACGCTGTTCATTTCGAACATGTGCACATCTTAGTGGAATTGAAATAGACCTTTGTTTCTGCTTTGCTGAAAGTCAACATTTGAATATGTCAAATCAGCAGGGAAATGAAGCAGCAGCCAGCTTAGAGCAGATAAACATGGAACATCAAAGTCAGCAAAGGCAGGATAAAGGCTCAGGAGACAACCATACAGTCCACAGGTTATCTAATAATCCTCTTTTGAATTCACGTCATCACCGTCTAACAGATGACTTTACAAACAAACTATTAAAAAAAAGGCCAGATACACGTGGCTCTTGAAGAACACTGACTTAAAACTAACATCACAGATGATGCCTGAAACACACACACACACGATCACTACCTTCAAACAACATCTGTTGTTCGTCATCCATCTCCTCTTCTTCCTCCTGCTCCGTACTTTCACAACTGGGAAGACAGACGTACTCTTCGTCCTTGTCCACACTCTCTTCATCTTCCTCCAGTCTTGTGCTTTCACTACAGGCCATGTAGGCATATTCCTCATCTTCCAAGTAGGAGATGTCCAGCTGGTCCTCAGCAGGTGTAACCAGTGCCATGCCCCACTCTGGCACTCCAGCTAACCAGATAACCACAAAAACTGCTGGCTCAACGCCATAGATTCTACCTGAGAAGAATGCATCTGAGGGAGTGTATCTTATTTTCAGTCTATGAATCACTGCCCTGTTTGGGTGTGCCTGGATAAGAAACTACACTTTTGTTGAAAATACGGAGGGAGAAGCCTAGAAATTCCTCTTCCTCAGTACAGGCCATGGTGTGTACTCCTCTGTATGTATATCCCAGTGGATGAAGTGTTTCAAAAAGTGTGTGTATCTTATGTCCTCTGTTGTAGATCTGTGACTGGACCAGATAACTGCTCTGACTCCTCCCCCTCTGCCATGTGACTGGCCAGTAAATGGCCTGCTCTATTTTACCACGATCAGGAGGGTAGACTTCATTGACTTCACTCGTTTGATCAAAGCTGTCCGTCTGAATGTCATTTAGCCGAGTTGAGGCGGATTAAACACAACGCAGCAGAGGATTTAATCTTCTAATCTGCCATATTTTTCTGTTTGTCCATAATCACAGATCACAGACACATGCCCTCTCCACAGAGTGATTTGTAAAGTAGTTCTGCGTCTGCATGAGGAAAGTGGAGCTGAATAGTGACCGTTTGTAACAGACCTATAAAAGTCAGGTTTTTGTTTACCTCCCCCATTGGAACAACACTTTGGTACAGTCTGTTCTGCCTCTATGGAGACAAGACAGTGTAAACAATAAGGGACATGCACCTGTTCTCAGGGTGGGGCCACAGACTGAAGTAATGTAAAAGTAGAAAATAAAGGAGCAGCGTTTACAGAATAATCTTCATTTTCCATTTCCATATCTACTTTTGCTATAGTTTTCACTCAACATATTTTTATCCATGAAGTCATGTAGTGACTGGTATCCAGCTGTACTCTCACACCTGAAGATCACTGCTTTAAAATTTAAGCACACTCAAGGGTTTCGAGCACACCTATGAACCCTGTAAATAACTGGGTGTTGTGTTATCCGGCTGATGACAACAGAGTGAGTCACTTCACCTCAGGGGTCGAAGTTCACACAGCAAGCAGCAGAGACAAAAAGCATGATATCAGTGATATCACCTGTCTGGTTCAGCCCACTCTGAAAGACCAGGTCACTTTTCATTTTAATGAACAACAAACGATTTTCCATCACAGACATTTATATTATATGCAAGACAAACAGCTTCAAGCGTATTTATATTAATAGGCGCATAATCATGTCAGTACACGCTACTGTAAACACTGCAGTACAAACCACTGTAAACACAAATGATTTAAAATGCAAAATGGATTTGGCAAACGCAAATTTACCTAATAATCATATCATCACCTGAAGAGCAAAGTGCTCGAGAACACAAAAACACACAGCTGGTTATATTTTAGTCAAGGAAAGAATTT